ATGTGTATGTATGTATGTATGTATGTATGTAATGTATGTATGTAATGTATGTAATGTATGTAATGTAATGTATGTATGTATGTATGTATGTATGTATGTATGTATGTATGTATGTATGTATGTATGTATGTATGTATGTATGTATGTATGTATGTATGTATGTATGTATGTATGTATGTATGTATGTATGTATGTATGTATGTATGTATGTATGTATGTATGTATGTATGTATGTATGTATGTATGTATGTATGTATGTATGTATGTATGTATGTATGTATGTATGTATGTAATGTAATGTAATGTATGTATGTAATGTATGTATGTAATGTAATGTAATGTAATGTAATGTAATGTAATGTAATGTAATGTATGTAATGTAATGTATGTATGTATGTATGTAATGTATGTAATGTAATGTATGTATGTATGTATGTATGTATGTATGTATGTATGTATGTATGTATGTATGTATGTATGTATGTATGTATGTATGTATGTATGTATGTATGTATGTATGTATGTATGTATGTATGTATGTATGTATGTATGTATGTATGTATGTATGTATGTATGTATGTATGTATGTATGTATGTATGTATGTATGTATGTATGTATGTATGTATGTATGTATGTATGTATGTATGTATGTATGTATGTATGTATGTATGTATGTATGTATGTATGTATGTATGTATGTATGTATGTATGTAATGTATGTATGTATGTATGTATGTATGTATGTATGTATGTATGTATGTATGTATGTATGTATGTAATGTATGTATGTATGTATGTATGTATGTATGTATGTATGTATGTATGTATGTATGTATGTATGTATGTATGTATGTATGTATGTATGTATGTATGTATGTATGTATGTATGTATGTATGTATGTATGTATGTATGTATGTATGTATGTATGTATGTATGTATGTATGTATGTATGTATGTATGTATGTATGTATGTATGTATGTATGTATGTATGTATGTATGTATGTATGTATGTATGTATGTATGTATGTATGTATGTATGTATGTATGTATGTATGTATGTATGTATGTATGTATGTATGTATGTATGTATGTATGTATGTATGTATGTATGTATGTATGTATGTATGTATGTATGTATGTATGTATGTAATGTATGTAATGTATGTAATGTATGTATGTATGTATGTAATGTAATGTAATGTAATGTAATGTAATGTAATGTAATGTAATGTAATGTAATGTAATGTAATGTAATGTATGTATGTATGTAATGTCATGGCATGGCATGTCATGTCATGTCATGTCATGTCATGTAGTGTCATGTAATGTAGTGTAATGTATGTATGTATGTATGTAATGTATGTATGTATGTATGTATGTATGTATGTATGTATGTATGTATGTATGTAATGTATTTATGTATGTAATGTAATGTCATGTAATGTAATGTAATGTATGTATGTATGTATGCAATGTATGTAATGTATTGTAATGTAATGTAATTTAAATTAAATGAAAAGGCTACAAAAAGCGAACACGCACGCACGCACGCACACAGCACACAGGCACGCAGGCACAATCACACACATACATACAGACACACATGCATACATACGTACATTCATACATACATACAAATATTCGCACATACATACTTGCATTACACTACATAACATACATACATGCATTCCATTACATTACATGACATGACATTACATTACATGCATTACATACATACATACCTACCTACCTACATACATACATTACATACATACATTACATTACATTACATTACATTACATTACATTACATTACATTACATTACACTACGCCATACATACATAACATACAAACATACATACATACATTGCTTTACATTACATTACATTGCATTGCATTACATTGCATTACATTACATTACATACAAAACATAACCTAACATGATATAACATACCATAACAACACGTAACATAACATAAGATAGCATAAAATACGATACACACGTCACATTACATACACACACATTACATTACATCACATCACATCGCACCACATTACATTGCAATTGGACCTGAAGGACTACGGCATTGATACCGTTGCACGGACCGGGTTTTAGCAAGTATCAGGTCTGAAAACCGCGTTTGTTGTGCCGATGCAATCGGGTTTCGATAGTGACAAAGAACAGCAAGTTGTCATTTAGTGTGGATTTGTTTGGATTTGGTTCCAAAACAGATTGGTTTGGTTCAAAAGGACTACCACTTTTCTGGGGTTCTGGGAATTTCTCCTTGGAGGTTCCGGCAGCTATGAGTACAGCGCCGAGGGCCTTGCAGAGCTCGCGAGCCTGGTGCAGCCCCTTGGCTTTGGATTTTCTTCACTCGGAGCTGGCTGGTCTTTAATGCCGCGGCTGGTTGGGGAACAAACCACTAGGTCCAAAACACCATGTAACGTACACCCCACCAACATCCAACACACCAGTGTCCATGGTGGCTGTCATTTACTGTAACGTATATTCCAACCATGTCCAAAACACTGAATGCAACCTGAATGCAACTGGCTGGTCTTCTCACTTCCTGCGTTCATGAACTTTAAGCTTTTTGGGTTTGGACCATTTGGGTAAATATAAAGTTTGAACTTTTTTGGGGCCATCCACTGAGCAAGTGAGAGTAGGGGGACAAGGGGAACCCTGTCATTAAGTGTAACGTATCAACTGGCGCTTGAGACAGCTCGCGCAGGAATTGGCTGAAGTCTCATCTTCCGCACTGCTACTTAGTGACTGCATGACTGTCCTTTGTCTGTTGTGCGTGCGTGCGTGCGTGGGTACGTGGGTGGGTGTGGGTAGGTGTGGGGTGGGTGTGGGTGTGTCTTTGTGGTTGGCTCAGGCTGAGAGTCTGAGGGTCTGCCAGTCTGAATATTTGCGTGTTGCTTGGGGTCAGCACATTCACATGGTCAGTCGTCTCATTCAGGTTGCATTCAGTGTGTTGGACATGCTGGTTGGGATATGGGCCTCTCAGGAACAGCTTAGGATAGCTTACGCTTTATTCTCACATCGAGCCTTGTCCAGGGACTATTTCGCGCGTAAATAAGGCTGCTTCCAAAGACACATTGTGCAGGGGGTCCCGTTTTCGCGCGGGTCCCTGTCTTCCAGGGGAACGCCACCGATGAGTGACCGGGGTTTTTATTCAGGGGCCAACATCGGAGTAGAGTTACTCGGTTTGCCTTTTGACCGCTGTTCCAGGACCAGGGGTATTCTGATGTAAAAGCCTCTTTTTGTGGTGCTCCCTTCGTGCCCCTTGGTTACGAGGCGAAAAGGCCTTGCCTTCGTGCGGCTGAGGATCCTCCAAAATGCCTCAGATGTCGGGGCCTCAAGGATTCGACATGACCTCCAACGCCGGAAAAACACCTGAAACCCAAACTGAAGCGGGCTTGGCCCAAAACGAGGGGACTCCCCCCGTTGCTTTGCCTTTGGTTTCACACTCGAAAACCAACGCGTAATGTTTTCGGGAACTCTCGCCCAAGAACGTCGGACGCGCTGAATCCAGCTCTGGTTGAGTTTGATCACTTTCGGGGGGGAACTTGCCCGTGAGTGATGAAAGGGCAAGGTTTTTATGCAGGCTCAATGTTTGGGGAATGCCAGGGGTCTAGTTCCCTACGTCATAGTCTCCAAAAAACTTCCCGCTTTCCTAGCCCCATCCCCCCAAGCTTCAAACCAGCTCTTGTTAGGGATTTGTTTGGGGAATACAGAGGGAAGGGGGGGTAGGGCGGATCGTGGCTGGGACCGTACGACAATGGAATGCACCTGCAGTCTGCGAATGTAATGTGAGAATCCTTTGGGTAGTATGGATATTCATAGCGAGAAAGGAGGCCTGAACATGTCAAATCAAGAGGCCTCGATTTGGCGGTTTCAAAACACAGGCAATCAGCAGCATTGCCATTTGAACAGGCGCCACCGCGCCACTGTTTGCATGTCCAATGTTTCCTCAGCATCGCAATGTTGCAAACGTAGTGTTTTGCTTTCGGTCAAACTGTTTACGGAGAAGTGTGTGCGTGTGCGTTTGCGCGGGTGTGGGTGTGGTGTGTGAGTGTGTGAGTGTGTGAGTGTGCGCGAGCGTGTGAGAGTGCGTGTGCGTGTGGGTGTGGGCGTGTGGGTGTCGGTGTGCGTGTGCGTGTGCGTGTGGGTGTGTGTGTGTGTGGGTGGGTGTGTGTGTGGGTGTGTGTTTGTGGGTGTATGTGTCTCTGTGTGTGTCTGTGTGAGTCTGCGTGTGTTTGCATGTGTCTGTGTGATTGTGTGTCTCTCTTCAGAGATGAGCTTGGCGCAGTGATTGCATGTGAAAGGACAGATACGACATGGATACCTTTTTCCCTTTTGTGTTTGTCCAAAGGTTGATCGTTGCTGCTTCAGCAAGTTTGCCTTTGTGAAACTAAGCACGTTCTCTGCGTCTTCACACCAACAGCGGAACCCCCCCCCCCCCGGAATGAGCACAAGCAAAATTCTGAATGTTGGATCAGCATGAAACTGGGGTTGAGACGGGGCCACGACGGTACCTTTCTTGGGGAAGCCCAAGTTCAGGTCAGCGAATAATTGTGATTCAGCCAGATTCAACTGGGGGGTTAGCCGGGTTGGTGCCTCCACTAACAACCAGAAGGTGTGTTGAAGTGCGTTGACCTGTCGTGTTAACGCCAGTCCGGGACCTTGGCAGCAGCCTTGCAAGTCCCCGTGACGCTGGACAGCGCCAGGGAGCCAAGCGACAAACAAAGACTTAGATGTTTTTGTTTCTTCTTTTTTTCTTGCTTTATTAGGTATCTTTTTGCTAGGGAACCCTCCAAAGTCAGGCAAGTCCTACTTGGTGGTTGGGATTGGCGTTTTGATTATTCGAACCCCTGGCTTTTGTAGGGGTTAAACCGGAAACCACCCCGTAACCTCCAAACTCCAAACTACTAAGAACATCTTCCAATAAGGAAAGCTGATCCAAAGGTTGCTTTTACACAACCCCAAAACAGGTAACCTCAAAAAGGTAGGTTTCCCCAAGTGCTTGGGCTTTATACATCTCGGGACAACCCTGGTGTGCACAAAAAGCTGGGACCTTCGTTTTTTGTCCAATCCACTTCAGGAAGTAAGGAGAGATGGCTAAAGAGCCGGTAACGAAATGATAGCTTCGTATCGAGATTCATGGGAGAACACCCGCAACAACGGATCTTGGGCACCAATCCCCAAGTAAAATGATGTCCACCAAAGGGTCCCCAATTCAAATTCACTCCTAGGTCAACCATTGTTGAACATGTTGGATCCCTGAGAGGAAACCCGCATAAACCAAACACTTGGAAGGGCCCCCCAATTTTGACGGTTCAAAAGGTGAGGAACTAAAATACACTGGGTGTTCTGCATGGCGTAGCTGATGCATATAAGGCAACCTTGCAATGTGTTTATGCGAATAGGGATCAACCGCCGTGTTCAAGAACCGTTTTGCTCCTGAAATAGTTTTCGGGAGTGCCCACTTCCACATTCCGGACTCAGAGCCGGGCCTGGTTCCTCTGATTTGTGATGTTTCAAGCCGTGCTCATGCAACGCACGCAGGCCTTCCAGAAAAAGCAGAAACGGGGGCTTGGACTGGTGGCACCCCTTTATTTAAGGTTCTCTCAGACGCTTTGCTTTCTGGTTGAGGATGTCCTTTGCGGGGTTGTTTCAAAGGGACCCCAACAGCAAACCCATTGGGCTGTTCACAGGTTTAAAGTCCTCGCCTACAAAAGTCTGGGGGAGTTCTATTCCCAACCGGGAGATCCCGTTCCACATGGAGCCCGCTCCCTTCAGGTTTGAAAAGGGACACCAAAGGAAGCCACTGGATTTTGGGCTCCTATGTGGGGCGCAACCAGAACAAACCACACTCGTGCAAGGAAGAACCACATCCTTTCCCTTCTTAGTTCACGGGGTCACGACAAACTAATGTGGCCTATGCAGTCCTAGTGAGAGTTGAGCTCCGCTTGTGTTTCTGCTTTGAAACGCTGAAGAGAGCTTTGGTGTTTGATGGGGCTTGCCACATTTGTGGTGGGCACGCCTGTAGGTAAAAAAAAGCTCCGGCCCCATGATGAATGTCCTTTTCTGGCATATGTTTAGTCTCAGGTTTTGGGATGATTCTAATTCATCAGGCTGTGTCCCCCCCCGTGTTCATCAGTCACCGGTCACCCATTCTGGGCCGGGACCATGCACAGTAAGTGGATACTCAAAAGACTCCCATGGATCCACGGCTTTCGGGACAACGCACGCACACCTCCTCAAAAAGCCCTTTGACCTACCGCCTTCGCCCCAGATCGAACTTACTGATTCGACGCAGCCAGTGGCAGAGGACGGGCTACCTGTGTTTGGCCCCGGTGAGTTGGCGCCATGTCCAACTTCCCGTGTTGGTTGCCATCTGCATTTCTGAGCCTTCAAACCAATTAGAAACATCACTTGTTGGTGGCCAAGCTTGTTTATGACTTTTCTTTTTGAGCCAGTTGACACCTGGATTTGTCGTTGACATGTGGCTGCCAAGTTGATTTGGGAATCAGAAGCCAATTGACGCTATGATTTGCGGTGTCCATGTTCTTTTAGTTCCCTTGAAAGCCAGTTGTAAGCTACTTTCTGGTTGCCACACGCCAGCTGAATCCTGGTGCTTTGGTTGCCATGCCAACAACAAGTGAATCTTGTTTGGCGGGTGGCTAATTTCGCTTGAGGGAACTGTAAGGACCTCTACTGGCTTTTGCAGCTGAGGCAATCTTCGTATCTTCCAGTTTTGACAGTACTTATTGACTATATTTCTGTTGTGATCAACGGTGACAGTTGGTTGCATGCTCAGTCTTGTTTTGAGGGTCGCACGTGTGCCTGTGTCTCGTCGTCGCTTTTTTATGTACCTGTCTCGGTATTTGCGGTTCTTTGCTGGACTGGGGTAGACTTAGGATACATTTTACATTTTACCAGTGACTCAAAGGCAAGCAAACAATGGAATATACATTCTATAACTGGGCCTCGGTCTAATCATGTGGAGACCAGGCCAACCCCAAAACCCAGAGGCTTACTGCTTACATTGGTCAAGCTCAAGGTTTAGGGTACCTTTCAACAAGGTTTTGCTCGGAAGCACACGTTGCTTCTGGCACCAGTTTCTCGCTGGGGGGCTCGGGTTCCAACAGGCGGGCGGGGATCTGGCGACATGTTTTTGGAGATTGGTTTGGATCCTGCTGGATTCTGCGCGAGAAAGGGGGAACAGCTGGGAAGCAGGCTCAGGCTGGGACTTGGAGCTGTCCTCTTCTCACTCAGGAGCCAGAAGTTCCTGAAGACTCTGACAACACAACCACTTCTATGACTGAAACCACCACCACGGCTGCGACGGCCGGCGCCCCAGTCTTTCCAGTTGCCCAACCGACGTCTCTTTTGTTTGCAGCGCTTTCCAGAAGATCGGCGAACTGCACATAGGTGTTCTTTTTGCCTATGGCCCGCCAGTAAGATGGCAACGGCCTTTCCAAGGGCAGTGCCTGGTTGACTTTTCTTGAGCCACAACTCCAGAATGCTCCCCCTTGTAGGACACCCCATGGTTTTTTTGATTGGTACGGGGTGATGTTTGCCATTCATCGCACCAGCTCGAGGGAACCACTTCTTTTTGCAAAATATGTCACGTTGCGCCAACTCCAGCTCCGACCATCTTCGTTTCTCCGGGAAAGCTATCCGAACGACATCGAGGAAACCAAGTCTGGGTGGTAGGACCAAAGGGCTTTTTCTCACTTCTGTGATACCAGGAAACCTCCCCGTTAAAAGGAGAATTCGTGATTTGGAAGGCCTCCCATTGGTATCACAGAAGTGGGTAATTCCTCGGCCGCAACCTCCAACCAAAAAGTGGGAGCTATGGGCTGTGGCGCACCGCGACCTCAAAGCCGACCAAAAGCTCAACAGGCCACGTGCCGAATGCCATAGGGCAAAGGCAAATGGGTGTGTCGAGATTTAGGGGACCCTCCAGATTTATGGTGTTCCTTTTCGTGCCCCTTTAAAACCGCACATACAATATACAGCTACACTATATAGAACGTTCGGTCAAATGCAGTGGCTTTGAGTCCGCACAAGCCTTTCGAGACAAGAGTTCAACTTGTTTGCACTGCTCAGATTGGCGAAGTACCGCCGCAGGCTGGAGAGGGCAATGGGATTCTTTTTGGCCGGCACGGCACACATCCCTTTTTGTTCGCGCCGTGTACACGGGCAACCTTGTGTTTTTTGGGCATGCGCGCAGACAACACTTGTATTTGTGTGTGCCCACTGGGAACTCCTGCACGGTACCTGTTTGTTCGGTGGTGCCCACCCGGCAGAGAATGGTCAGCCCCAAAAGAAGTAGGCCCCGTCTTCCTTGGTTCACGAGGCTGTGAATGAGGGGGAATGCCAACAAGAGTTGGCGGGCGGGCATCAATTTCCATGAACCTGATGTTCACCACAAGGTGCTCAATTAGACATCCCCAATAGGTTGAAATGGGGTCACGCTCATTGCAGGAAATGACACCTGCGTGAATCCGCTTGTTCCGAGTGCGGGTGTTGCTGCATTGCAGTTGCCCAGAACAGGCCGTTGCTCCTGTTGAATTGTCCACTTTGAGGCGGGGGTCGTCAAAAAAAACACGGGCCCCGTTTGAAAGCCTCATGAGCTTTGTGAGCTTCTCGGGGTAAATGACTTTACTTCCTTTCGGGTCCCCCCATTTATGCCAGGCTTTGATGGCTCCCTATCTTCATGACGCTTCAAGCATGAACTCCCAACCCCCAGAATGAGGTTATAACCCCAAGCTACGGAGTCCAGGTCGGAGGGAAACCCACGTGGGTATGGGTCAAAACTAAAGCACCAGGGGACCGCAGGTTGTTGTCCTTGGTTCCATTTTCTAGGTTCCAAAATGGATACCCATTTTTGACCCACAGCCACGTGTTGCCCCCGGCGTCGGATTGTTTCCGCCTTGAGCCGTCGCGAGTGTTCCGCGAGGATGAGGGCGCAGCCCTGCTGCAGTCCATTGGCATTGGGGCGCGGGCCCTCGGACCTGCGAGGTTCGGTTCAGCTTGGCTTGCCTGAGGGGTGACAGGGGGTCCCTTTTGAGGGTGTTCAAAGGAAGCCAACAGAAACCCATGTTCTTGTTTTTTTTCCTGGCGGGCTGGTGGTCCAGTTAGTTGACAACAGTGTAATTGCCATGGAATCTTAAAAGGGGTCCCCCAAAACAGTGTTCTTCTTAAAACAAGTGTTTTCTTTTGAGCTTCCACGTTAATCTGCATGGGGAAGCTTGAAAGGTTACCGCTGCTTGAGAGCAGCGCTTGAACTGCGAGCGCTGAAGCCTCGCCAATTTGCAGGGTTGTGGAAAACTTGGATCTCATCGCTAGATTCTGTGATGCTGAGACCCCCGGTCCCCACAGAAAGTGGGGTTTCCCACGACCAAGCCATGGGAAGTGCCATGAAGTGCCGTCCATTCCTGCACCGGGGGTTGTGGTGAGGGGCCTAGATCGAATAGCCGGTGGGTTCAGATCGCTCGAAACCGCCGAATTGGTTTGGACCACGGGGAAGTTTGCCTCACTCATTGAGGTTCCTTAGTTGGGTATTCGTCATTTTGCCCGGTGCAGGCGACCAAAGGAACCACCCTACAAAGGCGAAGAAGTAGAATGGCTAGCGCTGGATACCGAAGTGAAAGTACTTCGGATCCACTGGGTTAGGTGTGCGAATGGTGATTTGCCGTAGGCTATCCTGTTGATTTGGCAGATAACGGGTGATGGTCTTTGGCGCCAGTCAGGCTCATCCAGGCTCGAGATGTAGATCCCGACCCTTGTCTCCACTAGGACCTTTTTGGACATGATTCTACAAGTAGACGTCAAGGTGAACCGAATATGGACTAGAATCTAGCCTTCCACAGAGTGGCATGGAAGCCACCAAAGATTTCCCTTTCAGAGCAAAATTGTATTCCAGGATGGGCTCAGTGAGGTCCCATGGCAACGTGGGAGGGTAAATATCTCAGTTCTTGGGCTGGTGCTGGGGTTCAGGTCAGTTCCCCTGTGAGACTCTGCGTTTTTGCCAGTCCGCTGGCCTGGCGTCACGAGAGTTGCTCGGAAACCCATTGACAAGAAAGGACTCACGCTAGGTGTTACTGCTCACCTTCAAAGCAACACCTTCAAGCAAGTACGTGCAACGGACACATCCTCAACTGGCGGGGACCGCGACAACTGGTTGGTCGTTTGTTCCGCGCATCGTTGAAAGTGTCCTCGCCAATGTGCAATCTTAGCTGGGTAGACTTAGGATACAGTTTACATTTTGCCAGTGACTCAAAGTGAAGCAAACAATAAAACATATATATATATATACACACTATATCTGGGCCTAAGTCTAGTCACGTTAGGATGTCCCAGGGAGCTTGGCATTTGCAGTCCAGCTGAGGCCGCTGTCGGCGTGGGAGTCGGCGTCCTCATGATGGGCGTCGGATATTTGGCCGGCAGCCGAGCTGAGAATCGACAGCCTTAAGCAGACTGGGGCTAGGTCCTCCAGTACTGCCTTTTAATTTTTTTGGGGGGAGGGTTCCCCTACTAAAATAGACTACAGAAAAAAGGGTACCCTTATTCTAACCTTTGTGGAGGACCTAGGGGGAACTTGGGTGGCGCTTGAGGTTAGAAGACGCTTCTACTCCAACTCCGCGGGCGGCCGAGAGGTCTTGCACATCGTGCGGTGCGGCGAGCGTCAAGCTTGCCCAAGCCAAATCCAAACTTAAATGATTTATTCATGATGAAGGTGCTTTGCTAGGGGATTTTTTGTGAATCATAGCAACTTGCCAAAAATCCTGGCTTCTTTCAATTGGGGACCTCTCCAAGTGGTTTGTTTTCTTCAAAATTTGCGTGCAGTGTTCCTTTTGAGTCATCAAACACGGGTGTTTTATAGTTTGAGACACGGCCACTTGGGTAATTCAAGGTCGGTAGTAGGGACAGCTTCCCAAACTGAAATAGCAGCAGTCACCTTTGTAATTGCCTGGCCGTGATTGCCTTCTTGCTCTATAAGGTTTCTGCTGCGACTAAGAAGTGGCCGGTTACAAAAGGCACACTCCAAACATAGCACATGCACTTTTTCACAAGACACGGCAGACAAGCGCAGATGTCACACGCACACACACGCACATGTGTGTGTAAGAAGAAATTATTCAATCTACTGGTAGTGTGTAAACTGATGTAATTGTGTATGTTGTGACTTTCTGCTAGAGGAAACCTGAAGAGTAATTGCGGAGAGTTATTTGCATTTTTCCAGACACCTACTGTATCTACCACCCAGAGATAAGTGGGATTTGCACTTGAGGTGCATACGCCGTATGACGAAGCCAGCTCGCTCTATGATCCTTGAGGACTTTTCGAGCGACTCTTTTTCGGCATGCCAACCCCGATCGCCTTTATCATCCCACAGATGAACAATAATTTTCAGAGTAACCTCTTTTTGGAGAACCCCTTGTAGGGTTCTATGTTAATTTGCAGGCGAGTATTGCCATGTCCTTTGGGGCGACTAGGCCCACGAAATTCCTGCACCACTCTGTCACTCCGTCACTCCGTTACTCAGTGCCTGCCGCCTCAGCCGCAAGCCCCTTGCTTGAGGCGCTGGTCATTGTTCGCTCTGCAAATCAATACCACCAATATCTAGTTGTGGAGGAATATCCTTTTGGGAATATCCACTGAACCTATGGCTTTTCGGGGAGTACACCAATGCCTGCTCAAAATTTTCCTCTTGGTCATGTGTGCAACTTGGGAGGCTGATTTCAACACTTCATAGCCTTTTTTGGTCTCACCTTCTGCTTGCCCAACTTGCTCGAGATGTTTTGAGCCCTCCGGGCCGTGGTTTGTTTGGGGCACCTCGGTGCTCGCTTGGGCACAACGGAGAACCCCCCGCACATGTCCGGAACGGGATTGGTCGAATCCAAAAGAACAGGAGCGTACCTGGGAATTTGCAATGGGGTGATTTCCCAGTGGAATGAAACAATGAAAGGAACCCCCAAGAATATGAAACGATACGGACCAGCAGTGCCCGACTATGGCCTTAAGACTTACCTTGTTAGAGGGCCCCCACAGTCAGGACCCTTCAAACAATATGGCAGTGATTTTTTTTGAGGGGTCTGTAACAGAGCCGCGGCGGACATTCGTTACAGACCTCGTTACAGACCTCTGTAACAAAACCAGCTGGCTCGTTACACACCCCTCGCTACACACCCTCGTTACACGCCCTCGTTACACACCTCAGATGAACAAACCGGGCCAGTGACGTGACTGCCCTGTGTTTGCCGCAGCTTGGCTTGCGTTGAATAGCTGCAATCAAGTGCTTTGCTTTGCCTCGTCACAGACCTCGTTGCATAGCCGTTACATAACCCAACCCCAGCCCGGGCCAGCGACCCCGCTTTTTGCCGCAGCTTGGCTTGCGTTGAGTTGCTGCAATCAAGCTGGAGCTGCGGAGGCGCGCTTTGCGTCCTGCGCTTTGCTTCGCCTCGTTACAAACCTCGTTACATAGCCATTGCATACCTCGTTGTGCTGCGCTACATTGTGCTACTAGATACTGCTTGTCATGACATGTTTGTCCCGTTACAGACCTGCGTAACAAGGACCTCCGTTACAGACCTCCGTAACAAGATTCGTGGCGCGTCGCGCGTTGCAGACCCCTAAAAAAACTCATAGCCATATCACGCAATGCCAAAAAGAACTCTCCCAACCCAATCACGGGGTTCAGATCTGTGATAGTTTTGCAGAAAGGTATCATGAACATTGACTTAAAATTATTTCCTAGCCCCCATGAATGAAGACTGGTTGGCTATCGTCTAGCAAGCGACCTGATTGCCTCATTTGCGGTTTTCACCTGAGTCTGTGATTAGCTAGCGGGAGCTTTACCGTACCGCTTGTTTGTGTGTTGGTTGTTTTGTGCATTCTGCCAGCACCTTATCCAGACGTATCTTGTTGTTGCAGCATTCTTGGGCTGCAACCACGCACATACATGAGGATGGCGCCCACGCCAGCACAACCGCTCAGGCGCACCCGCTCAGGCGCACCCGCTCAAGCGCACCCGCTCAGCACTGCATCCACGCCTGCCAAATGATACGCACACGCGCTCAAGTGCCGTAGGCAAGGGCGCTAATAGATCAATTGTCCTTTACTGCCAGCAATGACAATGGTCAGCTTGCAACTTGCTGGCCAGAAATAGGGAGTTTCCTGGCAATGCAGTTCTATTCGGGTCAAAAACCCAGACAAAAACTAGTTCCGGAAGCGAAAAGCGTTTAGGCGCTGTCCGCACAGTGGATTGCGTTTGACGTCCGAGTCGATATGCATGTTGATTCAACAAGTAGGTATCGTTTACCCCGTGTGTTCCTGTACCCAGACTGACTCTGGGTCAGCACTTTTGAGCTGGATCTGTGGGCATCCAGGAAAGATGCGCCTTGACTGACCCCAGTTCCGAGGTCCCACTCGCTTTTCTTGTTGCACAGCCCGCCAGGACTCCAGTGACACTTTGGAAGCAGGCACAAGTCTCTGCGGCCAAGAACATGTAGCTGTGTTTGTCAGAACTTACACTTTACACTTTTCTCAGGCTGTTTGAGCCTTGCCGTGCAAGCTTGAACCATGTTCATGTACGTCTTTGGGCAGCCCGCATAAGCAAGCTCGTGGTCCAACATGTTCCAAGTTTGCAACGGCTCTCAGCTTTTCTGTCTAAAATTTGCACCACGCTGCGTGACAAAGACGCTCGGCGAAGCGCTGCGCAAATCACGAATCGTAGTCAGAGCTGGTGAAAGGCTCGCATACTTGTATCCGCGTTACTCCGCCTTCGTTCAGAAGAGAGGGTATCGGAAGTTTTTCCGGAAATCGCCAAAGTGAGTTTCGCTTTTAGCGGGTGTTGCCGATCCAGAACGGATTTCTCCTGGACCGCCAGAGAGCGGTGGAACGCAATACTCCGGGGATGGGAGGGAAGAGTTGCACCCCCGATCCCCCAAAGTCTTGCACTGCCTGAACTCGTGGGCAAGATGCCCATTTGTGGCCTAAGTGAGCTGCCCATGTGTCCAACACGGACACAGACCCAGGCTGGGGTTGGATGTAGAATGGGTCTTGGCTTTTGAACAAATGTCTGTCTGAGTCAAGCAGCCCCGGAAAAGTGGGAAGCGTGCTGCAGGGGCACAGCTCAAGTGCATCTTGTACAGACTGACCAATGGATCACCCAGAGCATGCGGAGGTTTCCAAACAGACGTTGCCAGGCCCGGATGCGGATCTTGGTTGGATGCCTTACATTTGCTCCAAGCTGTTTGTTGGGAAGTTGGTGTTAGCAGGAAACAGTCATGGCTGGTAAACACGATACTTTTGTTAGTATAGTGGCCGAACATTTCTGCACCAGGACAAGGGTTACATGCTTGCTGCACTACATGGGTTGTCGAGAACAGGATCCCCATTTGCGCGGCTTGTTGGGGGGTTCAAACATCACTGTTGGTCTCATGTTCAGTAAGTTTCCCGTGGTGGGGTGACGTTCCAAGCGCGCACATTTGGAGCCCTCTTTGGGGTTTGAAAGAGGCGTCATATTGTGCCGCCCCTCTTTGCAAGAATCATTGAAGAGGGGTCACCATTTTGCATCCCTCCCCTGTCATGGGGCCGCATGCTGATGTTGCTGCTCCTTTTTGAGCCCACTTGGCAGCGCCCAACTGGCGATTCCAGAGTCTAGGGAATTGTCAGATAGATTTGGGAGGAGTGCAGCTTACATTATAATATACAGTATGCACATTTGTATTTATCATGTGTAAGGGAGGTGTGTACTGCCTTGCAAACTGATATGAACATTGAGACATTTCAGCCTGAATACCTCCAAAACACATACCTGCAAATTCTGACTTCATTTGCCAAGTTGCTGGATGCTTTTGGAAAACCTTTTTGTGGTCAACAACAAGTTTGGGCTTTTAGTTGACCATGGCCAGGAAGTGAGCGGCGCAATGATTGGGGGAATACCTTTTGTGGGGTACTGTTTGTTCGGGAGACCACAAGGAAAGCCAGCATTTTGGGGGGGGTTCTCGAGTTTTGACACCACATAGAGGTATTCCTTTGCTGCACCTTGCAGCTTTTGGCTCGGTGGAACATGGCTGCGGGCTACCATGGCCGATCCCTTGGTGTGGGGAGTGCAGCCACAGGCGTCACCTTTTACAGCGGATTCCACAACGGCAACGCCGTTGGACAAAGATGTGACATAGGCTTGAAATTGGTTACAGGGACGCTTTCTGTGTTTTGGCTCTTGGTTGTTCCGTTGTTCGCAACCTTTCAAGAGTGGATCTAGAAAAGCCGCATCTAAACTGTTACATGCTGAAAATGGTGGATGTGTATTCGATTGCATTGATGCATCGCAGTATCTACATAAAGTGTCTTCACATCAAATCTAGCATTTTGATTCATCATATTGGAGTTTCCTGACTTCTAGGCAAAAGTGAAACGTGTCGCAGCGGGTCAAAGACCAACCCGGCAAAAGTCGCCCCTGGATAAGCATGGAGCCCTACAGAGGGGGGTTCTGAAAGGAGATGCCTCTTTGAGCGCTTGTGCCAGCTCAAGTCTGCAAGGGTGACATGTGTGATGATTCCTGCAAGTACTCGAGCTGTCAAGTAATGCCGAACAAAGAGCAGACGATGCTAAGCTTCCCAAGTTTTTGTATGTGAGTGGGTGCAAAATAACTGACGTAGATTTGTACTGAAAAAAACATAATAATAATTACTCAGTAGAGTCTGCGCTGTCTTCCAGCCCTTTTCTAAACCCAGTCAACAGATCCTTAAGACCATTTCAATGAGAAGGAAGCAAGCTTTGTGTCCTTGAACGAATCTTTGCAGCTGAGTAAGGCAAGGTGGGGGGAGTGAGATAATATGCGTATCCATTGAGGGCTGTGAATTAGTCACAGGACCCCGGAACTTCTTGTTTTTCTTCACACAATGGAAACCCCCGTCGAGCATGATATGACGTAAGTTTGTTTCTTTCTTCAGCAGCGTCGCCTTTTTGGGGTCGCATCTTAGGCCCTAGAGGCAGCCCTGCAGCCTACCCGGGACTGGCGTGAGTTCCGCGCATGGATGGCAACGCCGGCGGAGACTTTGTGGATTTGTAGGTCCTTGACTTGGTGATCCATTTCTTGTTTCAGGTTTAGGTGTAGAGTTTGCTTTGCAGATTCTAGCCAATGAGCTACCTTGTAAAATGAGCTCACCCAGGAATTACTTGCAGATCCCTGATCTTCAATGTCTAATTTACACTGATTTGCTGGGGGGGTGAAAGACACCTTATGACGGATCTTGTCATGGGGTGTCAGTTTTCAGTCCCTGAAAAGGAGTGCGGTGCAGATTGTGTTTGCAGTTTTGCTATTGGCAATGTCAAACGGGGGGACCACCCTCCAACAAAAAGCAAACATGCTTCCCTGGGGTTTCACTTGAAGTCTGCCTGAAGCGGAGTACCCAAGAACACGGCCAAATGGTTCCATGTTTTTTGCGGCCTCTAAAGTCTCAGTAGCTGGCTGTGTGGTGTCGCTCCCAGTGACCACAAGCCTCTCCCGTTTCAGGGTTTCTCCGAGGCTAAAGATGACCGACCACACGTGGCACATTGATTTGGTCTCCTTTGGTTTCCTTCCCGATCACTTTGGGCCACATTCCTCGCTTTTTTGTTCAGTCGGGGTCCTCACGCATCCAGCAATTTCTTCCACTTGCCAGTCTGTCCAGCCGCCTACGCCAAGACGGGTCGCCAAGATAGGAGCGGTGTGGACTTGCATGGCGCCATTGAAAAGGGGGTTCCTCTGATTTTAGTGGTGCCATGTTTGGGTGGGACATATTCTCTTGGCGCCACTTGGGCCAAGGCAGTTCGCAATAAGGTTACGAGATGCTGGGGCCCCAGGTTGCTCCCACTTGGGAAGCAAGACAGCCCTGTCAGCCCCTTTGTAAAAACCTCCAGTCTGTTGCCCTTGAAAGGCAAGTTGTCATTTTGGCGAAAGCTCGGCGAATTGTCGTGGGACTTTTTCCAGGATTCTGAGGCTTTTGCATCGAGCTGCATGTCTGCCTACCATGGAGATGGGTCAAAAGAGATCCCTGAATTGCTGAGTTCCGTGTCAGCTGGCAAGAGTAGATTGCGTGATGTCACACTATATTGTTGCGATTCGCATGCACATTCTATGCATTCTATGTCCTTACTGACACAAACCGGGCTTGTCCCACCTTCTTTCATGGACTTGCTCCTGATAGGCATATAATATATCAGATTGTCCTGCAGGCAGTGCGCTATCTATTTCAAGTGAGCTCTGTCGGCACCAGTAGCGGCTCATGAGGGAAGGTCCCAACAAGCACCTTGTGCATTTTAGGTTTATCAGCCGAGCCTCAAACACCTGCAGTGGTTTCTTGAAATCAATGTCAATGCATGCATTGAGTGTATTGATGCTGTTCTCGAAGACATAGTTCTGGGCCTTGACGTTTGTGCTGATGGTATTTTCTCATGATGCAATGATTGTTGCTTGTGCGGTTTCCAATGGTCATGCTGCTGATGCTTGTTCTTGTGCAGGTTTCAACGCTCGTCGATGTGCACCCGATGTGCCTGCCTTCTCCATCTCCCAAGAGCCTTGGTTTAGCCCGTTTCCCCTACAGGTCAATTTCCGGGTAGTTAGGCGATGCCTTGTTCAAATTGAGGTGGGTGCCCTTGAAGTGGGATGATTTTGGGTAAACATGGGGAGCCTTGTTTCGCCTGGAGGAGATAATGCGCCTTTGAGCTACCGCAGCACTCTGGCGCTGGCAGGCCGGAACTCTTTGTGGCAGAGGCTTCTTTGTTCGAAGCCACAAGTAACAAGTGGGCAGCGTGAGGGTTTGGAGCCATTTTGTCAGCATTGTTTGTTTTCTTTGTTTTTTGGCCTCATTCCCGAAAGCACAAGAACTCCTGAAGGACATCTCCGAACGGGGTTTCGGGACAACTTAGATGCCACATTTCGTCAGGAAAGATCGGGGGCTTCCTCCAAGAGAAAAGTAGCCTTCCGAACGCCCCAGGTCAGCTTCCCTTTTCGGAAAGAGGTGACCCCTGTTTTGCGGGTCCAAGGCGGACTGCACTTCATGCCAGGCAGAATGCAAGCTTGCAGCCACGGTGTGGGAACCCATGGCTCCTGTACATGCGATCTCGGGTAGACTCCTTTTAAACCCGGTTGTTGATTCCGACTCATTTGTACACAATGCTCGCATGCGCGGTTGCATGTGTTTGAAAGAGTTTGACGCATGAGTTTGAAATGGGACACTCGAACGAGCGAAGGCTAACATGCTTTGTTCTCCCAACGAAAAGTGGTAAGGCAACTCCATGGGCGTTGGTCAGGGCTCAGCATCTCCGATGGCGATGACGTGAAGCCCGCCTCTAACTCCTTACACGAGCGCGAGCCTCTGAAGCTTGGGCTGGAGCAGTTCCACGTTTGGGTTCGCGGAATGTTCGGAACCCAAACACGATTGGTTGCCTTTTGGTTTCCCTTGACAACCAGGCAAAAGGGGGTGCCTCCAAGATCCGCTAAACAAAGAATGCCATTTGGGATGCTCTGGTCGGAACAGCAACAACATGTTCAGCTCTTGGATAAGACTGCACAAAAAAAACGAGCCTTCGTTTCTTGGCTGCGATGAACCCGCGCTGTGGCGGTTCAATGGGGCAGGTCCCAACAGGCACAATGGGTTCAACGACAAATCCACAAGATCCTTCTCGTGGGCTAAAGGGGTCCCCTGGATAGTGGTCCAATTGGAATTTGGGATTTGGCCAAACACGCACTTTGAAAAGCCCAGTGTGTGCCATGGCTCCCTAGGTTTCACTTCAAAGGGAGGCGTATTAACAAAAAAATGTTGGCCGCGCAAGTCCGGTGGGTTTGGTTTGGCTTCTTTACATCGTTTACGTGGCTGTGTGGGCCATGTTACCCCGAGTCATCCCCGACTGAGCCACAATCAAAGCCTGAGTAGATGAAGGTTGCTAGGGACAGTTCCCTTGCAATTTAGTATGGAGTCTAGGTACCGATATCTGGACAATTTACATGGTCTCGGGTACTGGATCCCTCTAACTTGTTGGTTTTGTTTCCCCATAGCAACAAGTGCTTCGCTTGCGGCGTGTCAGCCCTTAGCTGCCTTAGCGGCAGACCAAGGAGGCAATGAGTTGACGTGGAAGTGACAGGCCTCTTTGCACCAAGTTTTGTCCAAGGGGATCCCAAGAAAAATATGCCAAACAGGAGATTCCAGTCATCATGAGGCGTTTTGGTGTTGGGCTTCACACTCAGAAAAGTATCCCTGCTCAAACAGGGGCCAGAGGCAGCAACTCATGTTGTGCTCCTATCTTGACTTACCTTGCTGGTAAACCAGGGTACTCCAATTATTTTGGCCCCTTAATCACAAATCACATTTGGCTGTGGGTCAAAACCACTGGGATCCCATTTTGGGGTAGGTAATTTCACCACCCATTTTAGAACCTTTTTTAGTGGTTGGATTGAATCGGATGTTCACTGGGGCTAACCAGGCTTTGGGTTTTGACCCATGGCCATTGGTTGGGCCCTAGGGCTTCGTGGCGACGTGTCGCTGGGTGCTACAAGCAAGGTCTGCCCTCTACAAGCAGTCCATGGCTCTGAGTCTCCCGGCGCTGGACGAGGCACAAAACTGGACCCGAAAGTGTCGCGTTTTTGCTTTGCGCGTGTGTGTGCGTGTGCGTTTGTTTGTTTGCTTCTTTTTGTGTGCGTGTTTTTTTTGAAAAAGAGAAGAGGCACACTGAAGAGAAAGATAGAGGGGTGTCTTTCAATTGTTAGGTCGGATCTTAGACCCTTCGCACTTTGGCGGCGTGTGTGTCTCTTGTGTTTGCAACTCGTAGCCCGCAACAGCTTAAAGCGATTGGTGTTTGGGGAGTTGAAGCCACTGGCGGGGTCCTTTTTTCTACCCTTGTGCCGGAAAATTCGGAGCAGTGCTTAAATCTGAAGTTTCTTAATTTCGGGGGGGGGAGTCTCACGGCGGAAGGCCAGATTGCTCGCTTGATTTCTCTTGGCCCATCTAATGTGAGTTTCCTGTTGCTCGGGCGATGTTTCTGGGTCGGAAAGCCTCGCAGATTTCGGGTGGAGATTGTGATTGAAAATCATGATGGAATAATCTCTGGGATTGATTCACCTTCAGAATTGGGTTTCATCCCTCACATCCCTCCTTGGACTCCATGGGCGAAAGGGGAATCAAGGAGGAGACAGGGTGAGGAAGAGAGTCCCCTCGTTGAGGTTACCCTCCCCTGGCTCGAGCCACACACACAGCCCAAACTGCCACCATTTTGGGAGGTTTTTTTTTGGGGGGGCACACTGTTTTGGGTTCTAGATTGATTTATAGGGGAGTATGTCTTTTTGGAGTTGGTGTCGCTTGTGATGCACCACCCCATGAGACAAACCTTTCCTGGGCTGCAGGTATGCATGGGAATTGATTTTGTTGTTCATCGTGGCCAGATCTGGTTGATCTGCCATGCCTCATTTCGGGAGTCACAGCTTGATATCCGACACGCCGCGAGCCGCGCCAGACGCGCGTGAAGTGGGAGAGGGACAGGGTCTGCCAGGCCTCCAAGTACGGAGGAATGGTGCGCCATCCGATCGCCCGAACGGTCGCAGTGGCAGTTCGGTGCCGGAAAGTTTCAGGTAGAATCTTACCCCCTACTCAAAATACCTGCTTTTTTCAGGGTATTATTGGGAAAACCTGGTTTTCCATAGTACATACCTCCTTGTTTAGTAGAGGGTCGACATGATACCCTGAAAAACGAGGGTATTTGGAGTATGGGGTAGAGGTGCTGCGCCCAAACTTTGGTGCATTTGTGGGTTGGAAGATGGAAGCTGTTGTAATCCGTGGGTGTGTTTCTGGGGCTTGGTGTTGGGTTGTTTTCCCAACCCAAGCAGTAAACAAGTTGCCGTTTGGTTCAATGCGCAACGGAGATCTGGGCTATGATTTAAAAGGGGGGGGGCTTCATGGGACAGGTTCGGTGTTTAAGATGTGTTGTTTGAGACCTTCCAGGCATTTTGACACGCACATGGTCATGAATCACATGTTTGTGTTTTTGTCGAGTTGAATGTTTCCTGCCCAATCAAATTCCAGCACTTGTGGTAACTGAAGGTACTCAGCTGACGTTGGTTGTATTTTCAGTTGTGGTTGAGCTCATATCCCTTGAATGTCGGATCTCCTCTATTCTGACCCATCCCCCGAGCAGCGCAAAACAGTCATTCTGACCCTCTAGTCGAAAAGAATGGAGGTTGGCCTGGACTTGGGCTTGACAACACTTCATTCAAGATTCGATTTGCAGTATTTAGTTGGTCCCCTACAAAATAGGGCTTCCGTTTTCTACCAGGGGCAGGGGTAAGTCGTTGCCTGACACTTGTCAACTTTGAGGTTTTGGGTTGAGCCTTGCAGGGGATCATCGCGGTGCAGTCATGTTTTCGGACTTCGGGTGCCTCTATTTCCCATGGGTTCCAACATGTACGAAACATCACCTGGTTGCCAATATGAAGCCCTCCAATTAAATTTCTGCTTGTGGACCCCTGACTCGTTGAGTCTTTTAAGCTGCCGATAGCAACCCTTCGACCCCTCTTGGTTTCCGGCGCGTTCAAGCACCGCAGCGCAGCACCGCCCTTCCCTGCGCAGCAGCCCAGCACCGAGAAGGCCCGCTTCACCGTGGACCTGCCCGAGGGCCCGCAGAACCGCCCGGGGCCCCGGGCCCCGCCGCTTTGGGAATGGAGTTCTGTTCGGGGGCGGATCTAGCCATGCCCACCACCCGGAAACATGGAATCAAGCAGAAGCTTCCTCTAAGAGTCTCAAGAGAAGCACAATGTTTCAGCAGTTTCTTTGCCTTCCACCACCAATCTTGGAAGTGCACAGACACCATTTGGATGATGCTTCTGTTGGAAGCGGCCCCTTTGCACCAATGTTTCTTGGTGGAAGGGATGTTTTTTGAGAACGACTCTATCTCCGCAAAACAGCAACAAGCTCAATTTGTTGGACGTGGTCAAGGGCCAGCGCAGATCTTGTCTGATTTGTTTTTGGACACGAGCGCAACCTGACATCCTGTGAACATTTTTACCCTATGACAACCGAATCATCAGATCAGGAACACGGCAAAAGGGAAAACACACAGTTGCATCTCCTTCATATGTGGCCCTCCCCCCCTTTGCGAATCCGAGTAAGGCTTGAAGCGGTGGCGGTCCGGGCTGAACAACCTTGCCATTGGCATCCTAAAGCTGTCAACCCTTGATGTTGTCTTATTTGGTTCAGAACCTTTTTCAAGGAAAGGTCAAGCGGCATCCGTTTCGACTGCCAGGGAAGTACTGCTACGAAGTCAAGGAGGACCTCCACAAGAGCGTCCTGGCCTCCCAGATTGCAAAGGCAGGGGCTGGAAGCCCTGGCCGGAGTTTTGCCATCCAACTCTGAGCAACACTCAAGCCCGGCACATGAAGAATAATGGACTTAAAGGACAAGTCGGTAATTTCCGCCCTTTTGCTTCATGGATTTTGACTAGACACGGACTTCAGTACCGGCACGCGCTTCACTAGCTTGTCTCGCCATGAATCTGGCCAGTTACAGTAGATGCCTGAGATGGTACTGAGTCACAGAAGGTCCCAGGTGTTTCCATCGGGGGTTCGCCTTTCACTCCAGTATGCAGGCTGGGTTCTATACTTTAACCTGATTTGTCCCAAGACCTCGATTCTTTCCACATTGTTCAAGTTTAAAACACTGTTTCAATTTCCCTACCAACCAGCAACAAGCTTCATTCGGTGATTTGCAACAGGGGCCCCTGAGTTCCCCTGTTTTGGGCCAAAAGTCACTTAGACCAAGCCGTTCATTTCGATGCCAGGAAGCAGAGGAGGCCAAAGAAGAGCAAAGAGTGCAGACAAGGCGGCTGTTTTGCCTCTGTTTGCTCAGGAGATGGCAAATGACATGATTTGCTAAACTGTAGTGCGTCTATTCAGATAGACCACAAGAAAGAGCACTCTTCGTTGTTTCTCTTCGAAAGAGGAAACACTCATGTTGGGCTAGTTCCAAGGAAAACCAACAGGGAGGCGTCGCCCGCTTTGGTGACAAAACTCCTTTGGTGGAGCCGACAGCCACCGATGTTGTCCCCCAAATAGCCCGATCTAAAATTTGGTTGCGTGAACAACTGTTTTAGGTGGTTTCCTAAATTTGGTTGGACCTGCAACCGTGATGTTCTTCCTTGCTAGTATGTGTATGCGTCAAAAGCCCCCCCTTGACGCTTTAAGGGCGCCTTAAAACCCCCGCGTTGCTAACCCTTCCCCGCATTGAAGCGAGTTTGGTAGGGGGAGTTCTACTTGTGTGAATTGGGGATCCTATATCAGGGGGTCCCACCTGTTCGGCCCATTTAAGCTGAGTTTTCCTTGGTAGGGGTGATGATTTAAGAGACAATGTACGGACCCCTAATATCAACTTTGATAGCTACATTGGTGGAGCCAAACCCAAGGCTGTTTTGGGGCACTTCTCTGGTTTAACATGCCCAGTGGGTCCCACAGACTGTATCATAGCAGCTAGCCAGCAAGTTTACAATAAGTTCCTTTTGTTTTTTTGGGTTCCCTTGGTTGCCAAAACCAGGGCAATGCAATCAATAAAGTTCGCATAGCAGGCGGAACTCTTTGATGAAGATCAAAGAGGGCACCAGCTTCATAGCGAATCAGGCACGGCTTCTTCAAAGATGTTTGCTAACCCCAGAAGAAAACGTATCCCTTACGTGGTGGCTATATAGTTCTTGTGTGTTTAATTACACCCTGGGATAGTTGTTGGGGGGTAGTTAGCTTACTTTTTTGCGGGCATGTTCAGTGCCCAGGTCTCGATGGGTCAAAGGTGTCCTGTCGGTGTTCAACCTAGATCTACAGTGGGGATGGGGTTTCAAAGACAGATGCGAACAGATACCCCGGAGCTGCATCACTGTTCGTACCCAGGAAACTGTGCCCCCAAAAGTGGACATCAGATCTCTTCTCAAGTGGGACACCTTCAGAAATGAAATCAGTGGCCCGGGGCCCAGCACTGCATGGGGATAGACTGGAAGTTGCCGAGCCTTTGCTTAACAGAGTGGACTTCTGGGCCCCTCAAAAACCAATAATCCTGGTCGCTGGGCTGAGCTGGGCATTTTGAGAGTTCTTAGTTTAGCTTGGCAAGAGCTTGGACCAGATCCAAAGGGTAGACATCTCCTCATTGGGCCAACAGGTCCCCATGGTTGTTGTTGGGAAACATTTACATTTTTGCTTATTGTGGTTTAGTGGGAAATCCCCACTTGGTGGGAAATCCCCACTTAACTGCTAAAATTTGAATTTTTGCTCCCCTCCAACGTCAACCAAATCCCTTCCGGAGTCGCAGTGAGGAGCCGGAGGACCCTTCACGGAAGCACCGCCTGGTGGAGAGGCTCATCAGCAAAAACAGCCGGCGCCCCGAGTCGCAGAACAGCGTGCATGGTATGAGGTTTGGCTGTATAAATAATCAGCATTTTGCTCCTGTGCCCTTATGTGGGTTCACCCCACAACCCTATGCTATGGATTGTTTGGCATTTGAAGATCACGAGGATGGGGTAAATGTCAGTAGCACGTTGGTTTGCAAAGGATCAGCGAGGGTTGAGCTAGAGCTAGAAGGGGCGAGAGGTGATGTCCATAGACTCACATGAAGCTATACTGTGCCAATCCAAGAAGGCGACATCAACAAGTGATACTGATACTCGGTCCCTCCGGCATAGCGATTTGAGAGTAGCTGAACTCTTCAATAGTGCAAAGGCCTGATGCCAAAATCACCTGGTGCCGCACCTTGTGCCGCCAAGATGTTCTGCCACAAAGAACACAAACACGCGGTGAAGCTTGCTTCAGCGCGAGTGAGCAATCCGGCCCAGAATTCCAAGAAGAGAGCTTGGAGAATATCTGGGAGGAGATTGAGCAGGCTGGACCGTCCGCTCCCCCCCCTTCGGGCGGCCGCTTCAGCTAGTATGATGGGAAGCCAGCGGAAACAGGCTTAGAATTGCCGGGTCCTGCAGGGGTTTGGGTCCCTGAACTATTCCCTTTCACCCACGTTGCTGGAACCCACAAGGAGATCCCTCCAATCAGAGGAGAGTACTTCCAGCAACGGGAACACTGGATTTCCTCAGCTAAGAACAGAGAGTCTACACGTCACAGGATCCCCAAAATGGCCAGAAGCGTTGATTCGAGTCCCTTTGGGGTCCCCTGACTTTTGGCTGGCTCATTTCGTGAAGTTGATGACAAGCTCACTTTTCTTCCCCATCATCTTTCTTCAACTTATACTTATGGTATTCCATGGGCACTTCCAGTACTCCTATATTGCAATAAGAAACGTGTCAGTCCGGTCGCTTGAATAGATTCTCTCTTTCGAAGATCGTGTCCGATTGGCGATCCCATTTGTTCCCCAACGACTGCAGAATATCCATCCATGCTTGACTAGTGCTTGGAGTCCCTGTGATCTCTGTCATACCCATCAAACTACAGTAGGAAATCAGCTGTCTACTGCACAGTTGCTGCATCCATCCAACAATGCGCTGGCTAATCATTCAACAAATCAGCTCCAAGACCAAAAGCACTTGGAATCACTTGGAGATATGGGCATCATGTTCTTTCTTCGGCTTGGTGTCTTTGGTGGTCCCTGCCCTGGGGCCACAGATACCAAGCCCAAATGGGACTGGGGTGGACTGGTTATTCAAACAGATTCTCAACAACTCATCTTGTGAGTCCCTCTTTTTTTTTGTCCGGCAGTGTCTGTTTTTTGCCGCGGCGCAGCAGTCGCGAGAGATCGCTCCGGAGGGCTCTGTGATCTGCGCCCGGGCGGTGGCACGGGGCCTCTTCGGGAGGAGGGATGGAGTGACTGAAGTCGGTGAAGTGACGCGGGTGCCAAGTATATTCGGTCGGGGGGAAGGGTTCTAAGGGGAACCCCAAAATATGTCATCCAGATGAGGATGTTAGCTGGAAGGTGGTGCTAAAGGAGGCAACCAATGCGGGGATGCAGGCGAGTTTTGGTCAAACGATCACCTGAATCCGCCAGGTTGATGGATACGGGCTCAATCATGGGGTCTACGAAAGGATAAGCCTAGGATAAGTTCTTTTTAAGGTCCTGAGTCAACATAAATATTGACGAGTTGTGTGAAGGGGCGAGCGGCAAAGCAACCAGTTTCAGGGCTTATCTACCATTGGACACGGAAGATGCTCGCCAGGTGTAACTTTTTTTGGGAACCACCCATTTGATGAACTAAAACGGACTTCGGTCCAAGTGAAAAGCATACCGTTCAAGCGATTCATCCTTTTGTGAGGTTGGGATTCGCACTGAATAGATCCGAAGAGCTCTAGGGCTACAATGGGCCTCTTCAACGGAGGAACGGGATTTGTGTCCAAATGGCCTTTCAAACAGCCAACCAATACCCCGACAAAAACGTTTCAACTGCATGAAACCAACAAACAGACCGGCACACTCTGGCATAGCGTTGTTGATGCTTAACGGGGCAAGCTATGAAGACCTCAAAAAGGTTTGTGACATTGTCCGTTGTGAAAGTTTTTTGATATGGAACCCTTATTGGGGCTTCCTCCAGCCTCGGTCTCAGCCTCGGGATATCCAGTGCCTGCCCAGGCCGACCGCGACAGGCGACAAGCGAACACCACCTGTCACGCGCAATGGCGACGACAACTAGAAGCACACGACTTTGTGTCTCCGTTTGCCTGGTGAACTGGCCGTAGTTCTTCAGCGGTCGGATTTCCTCACATGGTATTCACCGTTTTGTTTTTGTTTTGCCTGACCACGAACTAAGATGACCATTGCATCCAGCACCATTGACACTGACAAGCGCCGAACGCTCGCTATCGCTCTCTCTTTCTTTGTTTGTCTTTCCCAGTTTCTTGCTTGTCAACGAACTAGTCAGCTGAACGAGCCAGCAGAAAGCAAGCAAGCACGCGCACATGCACGCAAGCAAGCAAGCAGCCAAGTCAAGCCAAGCGAAGCCAAGCCAGCTAGCAAGCAAGCAAGCAAACAAGCAGAAAATGAGGTACGTAGGTCTGCCACAACAGGCGTTGCCCCCTTGTTCGATGGTGTCAAAAAGGGAAACCGGCAGAAGAGAGCAGCCAATCACGTGGAGCTGGACGTCCACTACTTTTGAGAAAATGCACATTATGCGTATGCTTTTATTGCGCAGGTGGTTGAGAAGAAACAAATCGGGTTGCAACGAGCCGTCCCTGAGAAATGATCAAGCCTGGTAAGAACATCGGTGGACGCTTTTCTATGGTTTCTCACCACTACTAGCTTGGTCCAGATCAATTCCAATTCCTGCCTGATGGTGGTTTCCCTTGTAGTTGTTGCGCCGCTACGGAGGGCGGCTAAGAATTAGGGATCCCCGTTTTGAGCAACCCAGCTACTTTTCTCCTTTCAGGGCGAAGCATCTCGCATCACCTTTTGGGGGACGCTGAGCTGAGCTTTCCTCTGGAGCCATGCTGAGAAGACCACCACGTTTGCCCTCCGATCGGTCCAGCGGGAGCGCGCCCAGGCCTTGAAGATGATGAAGAAAGTGGTAGGCGCCCAGAATGGGCGTCTCGCGTTTTGGTTGGGGCTTCGTACGCTTTTTACCTTGGGTTTGTTGGGGAAACCAAAAGGAGCCACACATAGCCATACCATTTTTGGAGTCCCCCTGTTTTGACACTATGTACACTTTGGACGGCCCTTTTTGGGAACGAAGACAAATTGACAGAAGAGGCACCCAACCATTTTTGTTTCAATCAAAGAGTTCGGACTTTTGGTGGCCACTTTTTTTCAGGTGAGATGAGGCCGCGCAAGTGGCTCCCTGAAACGTCCGGGCAGAACCCTTGAGGCCTTAAGTCAAGCATGCAATATCGGGCTTATTTGGCTCAGCGTCGAACAAGTCTGTGTTGAGCAGCACCGAACACTTGAGCAGTTTTGATCTGATAGTTCTTCCCCCTTGCTGCAGCACTGCCTTTGACCTTGGCCCACCATCAACAAGCGATGGACCGCGCTTATATGTTGAAGTGGCAGTGGGTTCCAGAAACACACCGCTTTTGGAGCTTGCAGCACATGCTCAGCAAGTTCAAAGGAATTTAGCCTTAAGCTTTCGAGGCCAAAGGACCTGGCAAAGGTTCCGTTTGCTAGAAGCTTGCATGTGCACGCTCGGATCAAGCCAGAAGAGCTCAACTTCCTCAAGTCCATTTTTTAAACACGGGACCTGAGTCCGAATGTGTTGCTATTCCTGTAATGCAAGATCCTTAGGAGAACTGGTTGCCAGATTCGGTGACTTTTAATATCTTTCCCACTAGTCCGGGCCTTGACACCGCGCCAGTGGCGTCCGGCTGCCCTGCAAGTTTGGAGGCGCTCTGGGAGCTTATTGGAGCAGAGTTGGAGCTTGGAGGGCACCCTTGCCGCAAACCAAAACCGCCTGAGGTTAGGAGATACATGTCATCTTCAAGAGAGCGTGTGGACCCGGAGATGGATTTGCTTTTCCTTGCGCAAGGCTGTGAGAGCGTAGGGTGGACAGGCATAGGCCTTGTGGGGAATTGCAGAAACCAAGGGAACTCTCATGGTGCGGTTTGGGGCCCTTGGAATGGATTCCGCGGCTCAGAGGAGTACCTGTGAGGGCTTCTGGTTTTTGAATTGCCTCTATAGGTACCAAAAGTCGCTATTGCCGTGGCTCCCTTTCTGGGGTTCTTTCAAAGGGAGACCGAAGGGAAACCGAAGGGCCCATCTGTGGGGTTTCCCCAACTTAAAACAAATGACTTAGTTTGTGTGGCTCCTTCCTTAATGTTTTGGCGTGGTGAAAGGACTCTGGTGCAAATGGATGCACTTTCAGAAAATGAGGAGTGTTGGGGCATGATGCCCATTGCTTCCGGCTATCCACGTGACAGATCATTGACTGATGATTCATGAGCAGTAAGGGGCTACCCTTAGTGTTCAAATCTTGATGTATGCTTCCACAAGATTTACAGGTAACCTCACAAACCAGCATTTTTAGAGGAAGCTCCTTTGGGGAACCATGTTTCTTGGTTCCGTGTCCAATGGAAGGAAGGGTTTAGTCCGGTTTTATTGGACTCACCCAATTTAGGCCGCAAATGGCTGCCAAAGATGAGGGCATTGGACATGGGTGCAGGTTGGCTCTTACCGTACCGGCCCATTTCCAGGAAAGCGCGGCTTTTTCGTCATGTTTTGTTGCTGCACATAGCTGGGCAGCTTCTTTGGATGCAGGTTGGGCACACCCAGGCTGGCACACTGATGGTCCTTTTGTTTAAAGTTTGGGTTAGTTAACAGTAGGGAGTCACCCCAAAAAGCACAAGGGAACTCGACAAACCGCAGCCTGGTTTCTTTGCCACGCGGATGGGGTTGAGATGGCTGCCGTGGAGGCGCCCATCTTCAACTTCATGAGGAGCAAGCTCAAAGAGTATGTGGGGCGCTGAGCGCTTCAACCGAGTCTGGGTCTTTTAATTAGGGTCGCGGGTCAGCTTCAGAACTTTGACGTTTGTCTTTTGTTTGGAACAGCTTGGACTTCTCCTGTTTGATGAGCTGGTACGGGGAAGGAGCTGCGCTGTTGTGCTATCTCGTTTCAAGAGAATTAAGCGGTTGGAGCACATGAAACCTGAAGCTTGATCCCGGGTGTTGTTCTGGGGTCCACAGCACCATTTCTCCTGTTTGCGTGTCCTGCTTGAGGTATGTGGCAGGTTTTCTTCAGGGCTCAGCCGTAGCGCCTTTGAACGACAACTTTTCATGAAGATGCGGCGACCGAACTCGCTTTCTATGGGGGGGGCCAATCCGCAAGTTCTGAGAATGGGATGGCTCTCCAACCATATGTGGTCATTTCGTTACCCCAACTTGGCCCATACTTCGTCAAGGTTTCAATAGCTCGGTTCATCCGTCCCGGCCTTCCTTTTCCCTTTCCCATCAAGTTCTACTTTTCGGCAACCAGGTCCTTTGCCGAGCTGAAAGCTCTTCTCGCTAGCCCCGGAGCGAGCGCTAGGCGAAGGGAAAACCGGTGGAGACGATGGACCAGGTGCCCTTCAAGGGAAGCTGTGAGAACGGATGGCTGTGGCGCCGCATTTTTCCCAAATAGTGTTTATATACACTAAGGGGTTCTTACGGTAAGAGAAAAGGCCTGGTGGAGATCCAGGTGCGGGCTCAAAGTGCTGGCCCTGTGCATGAAAAGTTGTCTTCGGTGCGACAGTCTCGCACGAAATGGCGGTGTCTCGTTGTGGTGCCGTTCGCATTTTGTTTTTTGCTGGCAGGGGCAACAGTTTGGAGGTGCGCGCTAGAAGCCTCGTGCCAAACGCGTTTTTTTTGAAGCAACAAATATTTTGGGGCGTGTCACACGGAGGTGCGCGCTGCGACGCGGGGTCTGTGATTTGAGGAAGCCTCGTGCCACTCGCGTTCTTTTGAGACCAAAGTGCGTTTTTGATGGCAGGGCCGCCACGCGGTGATATCTTCTTGTCGGGTCAGGCTACGACGCTTGGACAATCGGAGCTCTAAAACCATGGCAGTTGTCGCAAAAAGTTGTCTTGCGTGCGACAGCTTCGCATGAAACGGACCTTTCTTCAAAACTGCGCTCTCGCTGTGGCGCCGCGCCGATCTTCGGATTTGCGTTTTGCCGCAGAATTCCATGGCCAGCGCAGCATTCTGTGAGACTGCCGTGCGTTTTTTCCTGGCGGGCGCAGTATGTCTTGCGCTGCTGCTATAGGATGCGTGGCAGGCACAGCATGTTCATAAACAGGGTCTGTGAATTTCGTGGCAGGCGCAGAGTTTCACTCAGCAAGCATTGCAAGACGAAAGTGAACCCTTTGCGGAGATCGTGCGTGTCGAAGCGCTCTCGATGTGGCGCCGTGCGAGTTTGTCTCGAGCTCGGCACACCCTCTGCGGAGATCGTGCGTGTCGAAGCGCTCTCGCTGTGGCGCCGTGCGAATTTGTCTTGAGCTCGGTGAACCGTCTGCAGAGATTGCGCGTGTCGAAGCGCTCTCGCTGTGGCGCCGTGCAAATGTCTCTTGAGCACGGCGACTCTCGCTGTGGCGCGGTGCGAATGTGTCTCGAACTCGGCGAACCCTCTGCGAGGATCGTGCGTGTCGAAGCGCTCTCGCTGTGGCGCCGCGCGAATGTGTCTTGAGCTCGGCGAACCCTCTGCGGAGATTGCGCGTGTCAAAGCGCACTCGCTGTGGCGCCGTGCGAATGTGTCTTGAGCTCGGCGAACTCTTTGCGGAGATCGCGCGTGTCGAAGCGCTCTCGCTGTCGCGCCGTGAAAACGTGTCTTGAGCTCGGTCGAGGCGCTCTCGCTGTGGCGCCGTGGTGAGTGTCGATTCGCTCTCGCTGTGGCGCCGTGCGAGGTGCGAAGTGCCCTCCCGCATCTCCGGCTGCGCAGGCAACGTTTACGTACAATTAAAGCTAGCGCGCAAAGTGCGCTCCCGCAGCTGCGGCTCGAAGTTCGCAACTTCTAGGTGCAAAAGTAGTACGGGAAGAGCATTCCCGCAGCTCCGGCTGTAAAATCGCGCTTTTTAAGCACAAAAGTAGTACGCGAAGAGCACTCCGGAGCTCCGGCTGCAAAATCGCAATTTTTAAGTTCCGTTGTAGTACGCGAAGTGCGCTCCCGCAGCTCCGGCTCGAAATTCGCAACTTCCAGGTACAAAAGTAGTTTGCGGAGTGCATTCCCTCAACTCCGGCTGAAAGCTCGCAAGTTTTAAGCACAAAAGTAGTACGCGAAGAGCACTCCAGAGCTCCGGCTTGCAAAATCACAACTTCTAGGTACAAAAGTAGTTTGCGGAGTACATTCCCTCAACTCCGGCTGAAAGCTCGCAAGTTTTAAGTACAAAAGTAGTACTGGAAGTGCACTCCCGCAGCTCCAGCTTGAAATTTGAGAATTGCAACTTTTCAGCGGAAAAGTAGTGCACGAAGTGCGCTCCCGCAGCTCCAGCTCGAAATTGGCCGGTTTTTAGCGCAAAAGTCCTGCGCGAAGTGCACTCCGGAGCTCCAGCTGCAAAGTTGCAACTTTTTATGAGTGTACGAAGTGCGTTCCCATGGCACGAGGCTCGCAACTTTGAAGTCCAAAGTTGTACATAAAGTGCATTCCCGCAGCTCCGGCTACAAAGTCGTAAATGGCAACGTGCGCGCGAAGCGCGCTCGCGCAGCTCCAGGTAGTATGCGAAGTACACTTCTGAAGCTAAAATTGCCAGCCTTCTTGCGCAGCCAAGCTGCTCACAGATATGGACAAGAGAGTTTTTCAAGAGAGGATATGAAAGATTTGGCAAGAGAGGTTGCAGAGCATCATGCGCAGCATCATGCGCTGCATCGCGCGCAACGTCATGCGACATCGCGCGCAACATCACGCGCAACATCACGCACAGCTTCGCGCGCAACATCAAGCCACAGCATTATGCGCGCGAGAAGTTGACAGGAGAGATTGTGAAGCATGATGCTAAGCTTGCTCATCAAAGCTACGCTTGAGCAGGGGCATCGATGTGTTTACGATCTCATCAGGTGGGAGAGGCGTCAGTGTTTATTT